TATTTAAAAAGTTTGCATTTTGTTGTTTACGTTTAGTTCATGTTAAATCTTCTCAATCTATTTTATACCGCGTTTAATTTTTGCTTAAGTATGTCGAGAAAATGTTGTGGCTCCGTGTTAGATTCTTCATGTTGAGAGTGTGTTTTATATTTCCTCTTTATTTCTTCTACAGTCTTTAATATTCTCTGATTTCTATTTCCTATTATGTCTTGTGTTAATCTTCCAATTTCTAATCTATATTTTTCTATTCTGCTTTCAATTAAAAAAAAAAAAAAAAAAATTCTTCTTTGCCAGGTAGGTTTTCTATTTCGATTGTTTGCAGTTATATTTCCCTCTGTGTTGAATCTGGTACCATTAAATAGGGAGGCTGTATAAGCTGCTGAATATATTAAGGTATGTGATAAAATAAAATCTAAATCATGATTAAGATGCCTGAGTAAAATTTCATTATTCAAGCAGTGAACAATTTGAGCAAATTTTCGTGAATATTTCTGCTTTGGGATGTATGGTCTTGCTTCAGCATCAGTTGTGCTAAATATTGCAATAGCATTATTAAATTCTATTTCAATTTTGTTACTCTCCATGGGATTTTGTAATTGGGAGTTTTCCTTTTGAGCATTACTTAATGTACATATTTCTATGACAGGGTTTGTGCTATCTATAATGTTTTCAAGTTGAGTATGTTGTGTGGGTGTAAAAATGCCTGTTGTGATTTCATACTGGGTTTGTTGAGTTTGTTCTACTACGGTATAATTTTGATCTGTAACTAGTTGTCGATTATTCAACTCCCTCAATTTCAATTCTACTTCTCTTCGCAATTCGTGAATTTTATTTGAGTATTTCTTATTTTTAAATATTAATCTTCTTTGGTCGGCAATCCTCTGTTCAGTAAGGTATTTATCTTACCTGGATGGATGGATGTCTTTCTATGAACATCTCATACAATTTTTTTCGGTAGCCAGTTTGATCTTTCTCCAACTCAGTTACATCTCAGAGACATCATTAGATTTTATCTTGAAGATGAAATCTAATGATGTCTTCATTTATTTCATCTGACCATTTCATCCTGGTATTGTTTGTAGTGTTTGTTTGTGACGGTGCTGTAATTTGAATGCTGTGTGTGTGTCTATTGTTCTCACTCTGTATAATATATTCTCTTACTTCACTACCTATTTCGTCTAATAGTTTTTGTAGTAGTAGTTTTCTTCTTAATATAGCTCGTTTTTCTCCTAGTCGTTGCCGAGTGGCTTGCATTTCAGGATAACTACTTTCAAATTCCTGGTGTAAAATTTCTAGGTAACTATTTATGTGGGTTGTTTCGCATTTAGTTATTAATAGGTATGTACGCCAAATAAAGCGGTTCATATCTAGTTAGTAGCGGTAGTTGCCCAACAGTGGGTGCAGGTTTAGTAGCTGATGCCTCCTGCACAACAGCTGTTGACCTTGTAATTCTTGATGTATATGAAGATGATGGTGACGAATCAGGTGATCGGAATTAGCTATGTGTTGAGGAAGGTGTATAAGAAGGATGTAATATTACCAAAGAGTGAATATTTGGAAGATACCGTAGATGAAGGTGAATGTGAACGTTCGGCTGTAGCAATTTTTTCGAGGAGAACCCGCCTGTTCAGTCCCCCGTCGCCAACGGCTCACATGCTGTGGCATCCAGCGTTGGCTCCAGATGCGCCCCGACGAACTTCAGGAAGCGGCCGTAAACTATATCTCTTAGATTGACTGTCCATACAATTCTCCATAAAATGGGTTCAGGATCATTAGTTTGGGTAGGTTATAATTAAATGATTTATTGGCAAGATGGCCGAGTTACCAGTACCTAATCCCGTAATCCCCCCACCACCTCAAGGTGATCCCACGGGGGGATTATAATTATTATTATTATTATTTAAAAGTGGCACTACGATTTCCGCCAAAATCTCAGTTACTTATCGTGCCGCTGTTAGTGACCCATTCTTAAAGAGGTGGAGTCCCGTATGAGTCCCCATACAAATACCTCATCATACCATAACTGACCCTCTACTATATGCCAATTTTCCAACGACATTGCACTGAACGTACTCTCTCCCGGTCATTTCTACACTTTATTATTTCCATCATCTGGCTTTAACCAAAATCTAGACTCATCTATGAATAGAACTTCACTCCTAACTTCGTAATTCCAGTTTGCATATTTATGATTAAGAAAATATTTATGAATACAATTATACAAATTTTATGATTAAGAGTAAAATAAACTCGAGTGTGGCAAGACTCTCCACAGCAAGCAAGTCGGTCGATTTCAGTATTTTTCTACAGCTTTTGTTCTTACTGTAACCTCTCAAACTTCTTGGAGTTTCGTTTTTACCTCAAAAGAAGTTAAGTTCCAATTTCTAATTACGCTGGTAACGATTAACCTGTCCTCTCTGGTGACAGTTTTTCGTTTATGTCCCTTTTCTGCGAATCTCGTATATAGACCGGTCTGCCGATACTTCTTGAGAACTCGGTGTACCACAGATTTCCAAACTCTTAATCTTTGGGCTATGTTAGTAGGTGTGACCAGTTTCAACTAAAGCCACAGCCAGTGAGATCAACGTTAATTTTTGGTCGATTGTTACAACCAAACACTTAATTTCAATAGAGAATGTTACTTATTTACCATTAAACTTCAGTGTAACTAATTTGTTCAACAATCTCTCTTTCGTAAGGGGTTAACAGTTTTATCAGCATTAACTAATAAACTATCATCTCGACACCAGTTATTCATGGTACTTAGGGCTTTATGTATAATTGATGATGGGGTACTTTGGCAAAATCCCCTTGCAATGACCACAAGGTCATCAGCGTTACCCAGTGTGTCACTGCGATGGTCTGCCATCTTGTACAATATTTGATCAACTGCGAGACTCCAAAGAAGGGGTGACAATACACTATTTTGTGGACAACTCCTAGTAGTTTCAACATAAATCAAAGGTTGTAGCAGCGTCGACTGCACCCAATTGGTGGTCATGGGGTCAACCTTTTTATATGTCAAGCCCTCAATCAGCAGCGATGTGAAGCTACTGTCAGAAGCGCCATCAATATCTAGATAGGTAAAAATAGCCATTTCTTTATCCTCCAGCGCCTTTTCGACCCTGTAAATAACACAGATCAGGGCTGTTTCCGTAGATTTGCCTCTGCATTAAGTTGGTAAAATATTATTATATATATAAAAGAACGCAATATTACAAAATAATTACGTAAAAACAAATAAAATTCTATAAAAAAAAAAACATTTCCAAAACTTTCTTCCTTTTAATCACATTTCCTAATGTCTGAGGCTAGTATGAACGATAATTACAACAGGAGAAATCAAACCTTTAATTTGCGTTCCTCTATTTTTTTTTCTCAATTTTTCCACTAGTGTACATATACTGAATCATTGAAGTAATATGTACTTACGTACCTAGAACAGATATTTCAAACAAAAAATGTGCGCTACTCTGTGTTCGCGCGGTTGTTTTTTTTATCATAGAATAAACGTAGGTAGAATAATCCGTAGGTAATACTAGATTGTATTGTTAAATAGGTAAATTATATCGAGAACAATATTTATTTTGTCATTTATTTTGTATATTATATTTGCTTATTAATATAATATTACATAATATTTTATAACAATTACATTTTAATGACATTTTATCTGAATATTTTAAAAGGTATCTATGTCAAATATAAAAAACATACTAAATGTATGTTTAACAAAACTTATTAACATAACATTTAAATTACAAATATATTTATTTAAATTAGAATAAGAATCGTTCATAAATGCTGGGCACGCGAGACTTAAAAATGGACGAATTTATTCCACTTTGACTTTGATGTGTATAATAAGCAGATTTAAATATGAAAAACTTAGCCTAATTATAATAACTTATATATGTTTCTACAAAAAAAATGTGTATAATAATATATTCGTCCTATACTTAAGTGTCCACAGAAATGTCGTATCTGAACACATTGATTTCATAATCTATATTCCATGACACGAGTTGGCGTCTTAGGAATAATTTGTTTTATTATTAATGTATAATAATTTTTAATGATTAAGTTCTTATTAACACATTTCTTTAATTATTTGTACAATATCTAAGTACACACGACGGCATATTTTTATCAAGAGTTTTTTTTTAATCAACACAACACGTGACAACTCTACAAGCGCCTAGCGAGTGACTGATTAAAGTGCGGTGTATGCACCGCAGTTGAGTGGAACAGAGTAGCTGAATGCAGTGTCGCCTCTAGTACGTAGTACATAACAGCTCAATGTACTGAATGATTTTTTTTACTGTCTGAAAAAATAGGTTGTAACAGGTGAACGGATTAGAAATAGCCTATGGTACTGATATTTTACAATTTTTTTTTTACATTAACATATTATGAAACTGATTTATCAATAAATACTACTAATTGGGTGCATATTATTTTAATATAATAGTTTTTATTTGATTTATTTATTTAGTTCAACATTTTTGTTTTTATTTATTTAGTAGCGAAAGTTTGTCATAAATTAGTAGTATATACTGCCAGATCAATTCCATAATATGTTAATGTAAAAAAAAAACATTGTAAAAAAAACATTGTAAAATATCAATGCCACAGGTTTCTATTCCGTTCACCTCCTATTTTTTTCAGATGGTTAAAAAAGATCATCCAACATGGCTTAAAATGTTTTGATTAAGAAGGATTTACGCTGGTGGGTTTTTGTAATCCTTTTAATAAATTAACGGAACGAAAAATTGAGCCTTGCCGATTCCACTAATTTTTCTTGGTGTTAAAACATAATTCAAGTCTCTATCTTCAGAAATTCAGCTGATTTGGTTTAATTTATATGTTTATGTTTGTTATTTATGTTTGTTATTTATGTTTATATATCATTATAGGCGTGTTATAATTAAAAATTAAAAATGAGGAATATAATGTTACTCGGAAGAACTCTAAATTACAACTACAATTTTATTTTTTAGATTACATGGAGGCATAATGACAAAGAATTAGATAAAACTGAAAATATATTATATATTCCTAGCATGTCCCTTAATGATCTGGGTCGATACTCTTGTGATGTTAGTAATAATTTTGGAACAATAACTCGTAACTTTGAAATCAGCACAAAAGGTGAGTTCAAGTATTAAATTGCTGGAATTTAGTTTTATGACCTTGTAATTAAAATCTATTTTCAGGATGCTTATTAAATATTCAAACGAACACCAGTGATGTCCCAGAAATTCTATCAATTGATTTACGGAATGGTGCGTTAGACAATATTGTTCATATTCCAAGAGGAGAGTCAATTCCATTGTATTGTCGTAAAGGGTTTGTTAATTTCCCTTATGTTTTTTTTATTGATGCAATTTGCGTTCGTGATTCAACGCTAAAAATAAAGGATGATATTATCTCTTTTTCTAAAATAAAATGCAAATAAGAAAAAAAAACAGTAACAAAAATAACAAGTTGGAGTAGCGTGATGTGATCAAGGAATACACTTATTGTTGCGACGATTAGGATTTGGAAAGGGTTTTGGTTTCCTTGGGCAATTTAGTAACGAAATGAAAGCAAAGCTATTTTGAATGATACATTGTTTCCAGAATATACTTTGACTTTAAATATATTATATTTGACTATTTAATAAAATTAAAAATTCACAATATATGATTGGAGAGATTTATTATTTTATCATACTATATATACCTAATAAGAAAATTGAAATATAATAAGAAAAATGGCAAAAAATAAAATAAAAGAAATAAACCTGAAAATGCCAATGACGATATTATTATAGGACATTTTTTATACTTGGTAGAGCCGTGCTGCAGTTATATTAGAAGTATAGTTGTAGCACGTCTGGGTCGGCTCTACCGGGGAAGGACAACGCTCACACATAATACCAGCGTAAAATATTAGCTTATTGTTGCTGTGTTTCGTATGGTGAATGTAGAGAACCGGAAACAGAAAAAGAAACAGAAACAGAAAACCCGGAGACCCTTTTTACTGGAAACGAGGCTTTCCATGTTAGTCCTCACGGGTGACAGCTCCTCTGCATTTTGATTCGTAATCGAGGATAGAATGTAGATGTCTATGGGCCACAACAACCACTTACCATCAGGTGGACTGTGTGCTCGTTTGTCACCCTATCATGTAAAAAAAGCATTGCCCTGCCCAAAAAACATTGTTAACACAAATATGGTTCTATTATATATATATATATATTAGAACCAAATTCGTGTAAAGTATAGCTTGCTATTTTGTTGACAATCTGACCCTTATATTTTAAAATAGATTTCATTGCAGGTAATTGTAATTATAATGTAAGATGTGTTAGGCGCTAATATTTAAGGTGCCAAATAAAACTTTCAGGTTTTGATTTAATAATACTAACGGGTCGCTGGAATAGGTTTCTCGTCTATAAGTCTCGTCTATAATACTATAATACTCTACGGCTGTTCTTTAGGACAATACGAACTACACTGATAATACAGATTACGCATATATAAACTGCTAAAACCTTGTCAAATTGCTCCTGGTGAGAGAATTTGCGGTAAAAGCACGTTTCGCAAGCGAGTTAGCGATTGAAGTTTCATTCATTTCGCTGTTTTCGGGTTAAGCATATTTCTAGATGATCAAATCGACAAAAATATATCGGCGGGAGACTATGATATTTTTCTCTTTAAGCTATTAATATTCACGGGATGAGATGAAACTATATATTTTTTCTTATGTCACTAAAGTGAGATTAAATCAATTTAGTGGCACATTGTTAAGAAATTATATCGGCGTAACTATTGGCATTTTTGATTGAATTTTAACTATTCTTTATATCTAAAACAACGAAATAAATACAAACATTTAAATAATATTTTTCTACTAAAAAGGGTAAGTATTAAACTTAATCTTAAAAAACCGCACAAACGTCTTGTTGCCTATAATGACCTACAGAACTGAAATATTATGGTCATTCACTGTTGATCGTACAAGAAAACTTAAAGTGGTGTAGATATCTTTAGAGAGGAACATGCTCAAAGTTTCTCTGTGCGCAGCAGTGTGAATATTGAATAATATCTTTAATTTAATTATGATAACTGTACCGCATCTTCGTATAGGTGATACTTGATAAAGTTTAAAAGCAAAAGGTTAACACATACAATACAGCAAAACAAAAATGTTGTACGAAATTCCATCTTGTGGCTAGTATACGCAACATAATCCCAATAATTAATAGAATGGAGAGAATATTTCTTTTAAAAAAAAGTTACTTAATGAATACTGATATAGCCATAAAGCAACAAAAATTAAATATAATGCATTACATAAGAGTATTAATATATTAAAATTACTGACTTTTAAATTTCGACCACGTCGTTTTATATTTATATATTGCAGTTTTCCTAAAGATCAGTGTTTAAGCGATGTAGGGAAGTAATTTTGTAATCACCGGCTTACCAGGCATCTCACAAGGAACAGCGTAGTTTGCCCAGATCATTTTCAGACTTCTGACAGGGGAGTGGTCGAGGGTACCAAGCTAACTTTAATACCATATTATATTAGTTCCGTAAGCTTTTTTATATCATGGAGAAGGCAAACTAGCTTACAGTCAACCTGATTGTAAGTTGAAGAAAGATTGTAAGCTGTAGTCCAAGGATATTTACGATCTCAAGGCCAAGAAATCACTACAAATTGCAAATACGTCGCCAACTCTGAAGACTAAGATGTAATGCCACGTGCCACCCATAATATGTTGAATATGTAATATAGTGTAGTGTGTGAAATGAAGCTCGGTTCTCCACTTCAAAAAATGTACAAGGTAAATCAATTTTTTCTAGAGCCATCAATTATCATGTAATCTACCAGATGAGAGATCATGTTACGATGCCATTAGTGCCATTCTTACTATTCCTGATTCGTTAACAGTTTCCTTTTAATAGTTTACTGAATATAATATTATTTTTGGTTAAAATAAATAAATACATATTGATCGAATAGTAATTTCTACTATTTTATTATTGAGATTGAGTATGCTGCATAGAAAGATAATAACGGCATAACAGAGCACATTTTTTTCTTAAGCTTAGTCTAAGGAAACATCTAAAAATTATAATTCGATTCCCACCATTGCACTGACACACCGAGAAAAATAAAATTGCAGCAACAGCTATATTATCAGAAAAAAATTTAATAACTCCAAGCTAAAACCTATGAAAAAACATTCAGAATCTGGATGAAAAATCTTTGATAGATGTAGAAGAACTGATGGATCTTGGAAAAATTAGCGTTGATGAAACAGAACTTCTTAGTCAACTTAAGAAAAAATTTAAAAGTAGGAAGCTCTCACGAGCTAAGTAAGCATACTCTCACAGAATACCAGCGTAAAATGCAGCTTAATGTGATTGTGTTTTATATAGTGAGTGTAGAGAGCCGGAAACCTCACAGTCCTCGGTCATAATCAAAAAGTCAGTAAATGTAGATGTCTATGGGCCACTTACGAAGAGGTTGACTGTGTGCTCATTTATCACCCTTATTCTAGAGATTTCTCGAGTGGCAACCTTGTACGATAAACAAAGTTTGGCTTCTTACTAGATGGAGTAATGATTTCGTAAGACATATAGGAAGTTGATGGAAGCAATTGGATCAGGACCGTGTTTTAGTGGCATTCCTTACGACTTGTGTACGAATATTTTGATAAATGTTAATAAATATTGGCTGACTTAAAGGATACCTATTTTGATACAAATATCGTATCACGCAAAAACACTGATTTAAAATAAACAAAATGTTTACACTAACACACACACACGCACACACACATACATAGCATAGGTACACATAAGCTTTACATTGTTAGGAATAATGCTATTGTCATCAAAAAACCGCAAGGCTTTATACAAGATGAAAACAAACGCGATAACATCAAGCCCAAATTGGATATGAGATAAAAGGCTACATTTCAACACGAAAGGGCGAGTATATCAAACTTTGAAGGCATATACAACAAAATGATCATAGTTTTATTGGTTTAGTTTTATTTAATTCTTTGCCTATCTCTTTTAAAATTATTTATTGCCACCACAAATTCCAAAATAAACTCAAATCACTATTAATTAAAAAGGCTACTACTTAGTTGACGATTACCTAAATGAGAAAAACAAACATAATGAATGTTAATTTTTTGTTTATGTACTGCTTAATATATTATAATCTATTATGACATGAAAATATTTAATTATGACATGAAAAGTATTAAATGTAGAATGACTGTCAAATGATATTTAAATTTTATTCGATTTTGGTTTTATTTAATTGCATGCAAACGTAATTACAGGTACAGTAGAAGCGTATATTGAAAGTATACAACAACAGTAGGTACGCACAGGTCGGGACTGTTCGCGTATAGTTTCAATTTGTTATGAGCATAACTATTTTTAGAAACTATACATGGGTATTACGCTTTTATCGCGAATACTTTGCAATAAGGTACGCTTAAACTTTGAGCGAAAAACATACTGCACTAGTTAAAAACATACATCGAGCATAAACGCGATAGAGTGTATGTTATTAATGTGTGTAGATAGTTTTTTTATGTTACACAAAATAACACTTAAATTATAATTAAACTTATAATTACTTCCTGTTCGCCTGACAATTCCGCGATAAAAAAATAAATAAAAGAAAATGTACTATATAGATTATATTACACATAATGACTAATATTGACCTTTGAAGTTACTTCTGTAACAGCTTCGGCACTGCGGGAAGTGCAGCCCCTTCGCCCTTGCTTAGCAAATTGCAGGTACCCGTGCAAGCCGTAGCGGCTGAGGCTGGTAGCCGAAGGGGCGAGGGAGGCGGGCGGGGCTGCTCTCCCTCCGCGCCTACGGATTTACAAAGACATGACTACGTGTAGTCGAGGCGTGCTGATTCAGCTTTAGAATCTGTGGAAATGATTCGTTCGTAATTAGCCCTATTTTCGCGATCACCATAGATTTTTTCCAAAAATTCGGTTTATCTTATTATTACTCTACGACATGTATAAAGTACACATAATTATATATTTAATTATAACAATGAATGCCGTAAACAAGTATGTGTCAAATTGACAGTTAATTGTATTTCTTGTTGAAGGTAATTGGACATATTATGAAGATAAATAAGATTTAAGTGCTTTTATAATAAAAATACTACTTCTATAATAAAAATAATTTTGTCTCTCACAAAGGACTTCATTACTTTAACAGTTACCTCTAAATTGCCATAAAGTCATGAGTAGATGATTAGTTGATAACTAATTGTTGCACAATTTTTAATATGGTGACATTTCCTTAGTAAATTTCTGAGCTTATATACTTTACTAATACTTGTTACGCGTTTATATTATAAATGTATACAATGTCAGAACATGTCGGTTCTAGCCTTGTATAATCTCCTAACTAATTTACTGAATCAGCGTTAGAAAGTGTAAGCGACTAGTACGCAGAAATCGTGTATATTTTCTGAAAATTTTATTTGCTACACATTCTGAAAACATACAGTGTAATAACACTATCAATGCGTGCTGTCCTTGTATATTTTCAATATACGCACAGTAGAACGTCGATTATCCGAATTAACAGGGACCGGGGTCGATTCGGATAATCAAAAATTCGGATAATCGGACATAGACTGGTAATAAAGAAAAACAAACTGTCAAAAATATACGTTATTGAGTATAAATATAGGTACGAGAGTAGTTCACTGACAGTAATTCCGTTTCACCGAAGCCGTGCGACGCAAAACATGTATTGTCTTGCCTCTAGCTTTCAACCATAACAGTTGAAATAATTTTGTACGCTTCATAAGCGAAGCGTTGAGGTTGTGCTCTACTCTCATCTAATGAAAATCCAGTAAATGTCTTTGTTTTTTACTATTGCACTTTTAGAATAATAAAAATACACATATATCGAGAAAAAATCACTGGTTTTTATATTTCTATTATTTTTAAAAGTAATTTTCTCTATTGAGTTTAAAAGCAAACTGATTGAAAAACATTTTTCGAGGGTGTCCAGAAGTCTGTATGTGTGGATGGCGCACGATTACGGTCACTAGAATTAATGTATCAAAATAATTCTTTTTTTATTAAGTTTAAAATCTCAACGCACAGGTTCCTTTTAAAAACGCAGTGCGTAATTTGGTCTCGTTTAATTGTAATCAATGAAAATGTAAAATAACAACTGGTACTTTTCTACAAAACAATATTCTCATGTATCTCTTCTTTCGATTTAAATATGGAAAAAGAGATATTTTTCTGTTTATATAGTTAAATGAAATTATGAGGCACGCACTTTTGAATTTTCTAAACTTTTTTTATATTACGCTTAGAACCGATTCGGATACATAATTGGTGATTCGCTTATTTGGCGTTCGGATAATCGGCGTTCTACTGTGGCTAAAAGAAAAGGAAAAAATATTTATTGAGACTCAATCATTCTATTAAACAGTTGTATTAATTAATCGAGTACTGCACCACTGAGCAATGTAACCGACGTAGTTATAAGCGAAAACGATGTATAGTACGTATCCGCAATGTATTAGCGACAATTTTTGATTACATCATCGACCAAAGTTCATTTTGTTAAGTAAACAACGGTGTTATAGACTAACGAACCTTGTATGAACAAATTTAAAAATCACCCACTTATTTTATTATAATTTGAACTTTTTATAAATTTTTATGGCTCAGACTGTCACCATAATTCTTTTTTTATAATAATAATTTTATTGTTTTCAAAATTTTATTTTCAAAATCATTTTCAATGAGTTTACCTAGGTTATATTTACTAAATTAGCTTGGACAACGTGATTCGTTGTTTTAAATACTGCAGTTTCAGCACACTTCATTTCGTCGACAACTGCTAAGTTCATTTCATACCCTCTAGCTACTCCAGCGTTGTTGTGGAGAGTTTTTGAACTGTTATTTACTGCTTATAGGGTGATACTTTTTCAACTATTCTTTCATTTATGTGAGATGGTTCTCCTCCCCTTTATACTCCATGGTGTAGCCTATAAAAGTACTTGTACGACCCGGATTAGTAGGGGGTAATCTGTGTTGTACGAGGCCGCAGCCCCCAGCGCTGCAACTCATTGGTAATCCACTGCGCCACGGAGCCACTATCTAAAAACAATATCATTACAACAAAGGTGTTCAATAGTTAATCACAACAATAGCAGTCCCCTGACTGCACAATGTTGTTCACATACGAATTACGTAGTTCCACTACGCGAAAATCGCCTAGTATGTAAAACCTACTTAAAGACGCACACGACAGAGCCGCGCACCATGATGCGCCGAGTCAGCAGGCGCCGACAATCCGACGCCCGTGCAGGTTAGCATCGGATTTCGTCATTCTTCGGTCACACTTCGACCAAGATAATCATGTCAATTTAGTTATAGAATTATTGTAATATTTCTTTATTAAATTTATATTTTAAGATTTAATTTTTTTAAGTCCTGCGGCTGCAGCTAACGTAATTGGCGCGGTCGGTAGGATATTAGAGTAAGTACGCGGCGTTAAAATCTCCAAAAATCGGTAGATTTCGGTTGGCTCTGAAAGACGCTGATTTGGCTCTCAAGCCTTAATCTAATATCCGAACCACGTGGCAGCAGCACCGGGGACGAGTATCCGAAAATCGATACGCGGAGGAAACCAGAATGATATTGCAAGTAAGCAAAACTTTCTTTTTGTGTTGCTTTCCTTTTATCCTTTAAGTTTTATCCTTATTGTCCAAAATTTTTCACCCAAAGAATAGAGGGCCTAGCGAGGCTGGTTTTCGACAGTCTCGCCGAAATATAGATTTAGATAATTTAAGGAATATTGAGGAAGAATTAAATTTAAATTCAATAACTTCCAAAATGTCTTTTGATCCCGATGTAATATATGAGGCAGGTAATAATGATGTACACCCTAAAACTCTCCAGCCGTCTCCAAGAACACAAATACCAATTTCAATGCCTTCTCAATCGAAGCAAAATTTCCAGCCTCCACCTATGATGTTAGCACCCGCTACTCAGAGTCCGATGTGGATGCCACCTCAATCTCAGCCATTTAAATTTACTCAACCACAAAATCAATTTAAGTTCAATGCGGGCCCTCAACATCAGCCTCAGTACCGCATGCCAACACGTACTCAATAAATTTTCAGTGCACCACCACCGAATTATAACCCACAAATTAACGTGTTCCGTATTCAGCCTCGTTATCAGCAGCCTCAGAATTTTGGCCCTAAGCCTATGACTGGTGTTCAACATTTCACTCCTAAAGCCTTACCTCCTACAGGATGATTAACTGGCCATGATTGGAACCAGCACGGTAACCCACCGCCTACAAATTATTTTAAAAGCCGTGAAATGAATTTTAACGAGTGTGACGGCTATGATAACTATTACTATGAGCCTGACTACAACAACTATTACGCGGATTACTACGAATGTCCATCTTACGGCAGTAGCTATAATGACAGTAGCAACACAGCAGTTCTTAGGACTATTAGGATATTACCGGAAATTCATCCCAGATTTTGCAAAAATAACAAAACCCGTAACACAATGCCTAAAAAAGGGTAAAAAAATCACTTTTGACCCCGATTATGTTAACAGTTTTGAGAAGTGTAAAACCATTTTGACGAATGATCGAATCCTTAAATACCCGGACTTTAGTAAGGAATTTATCCTTACTACCGACGCGTCGAACTTCGCCATCGGTGCTGTTTTGTCTCAAGGGCCGATAGGCTCGGATAAACCCATCTCACATGCTTTGAGGACACTCAATGACAGCGAACAAAATTATAGTACCATTGAGAAAGAGCTGCTGGCAATAGTATGAGCCAATAAATATTTTAGGCCCTACCTATTCGGCAGGACATTTAAAATACTTACAAACCACAAACCTCTACAGTGGATTATGAG